ACCACAACATTTAATACATAAAATGAAATCCGATTCTGTAGTTCCACTGTAAGATCTGCATCTTCAGTAAACATATTGACAGAATACGAATTTGTTTGCAAACCGAATTCTAATTCCAAAGTACATGGCGTCCAAATTTGTCTCAAATCAGGACCAGTGTCATGTGGAGAACACGCAACAATAAAGAAAGTGCGATAAGCTTCACATGCAGATTTGAAAATTTGGTGATTATATAAAAGTCTACTGCAAACATTTTGAACTTTATATTTACAAGATATGTTTTGTCGTCAAAATAATATGAGCCAGTTAATTCTAAACATGTATTTAAAACCAAAAATATGAAAAGAAACGGAACCTGCGTTGGGGCGTGGGCTGAACATTTCAAGTCTCTAAGATTGTTAAAAAGTTGTAAAATAATGAAAAAAGTTTTGTTTGAATCTAAGTATTCATTGGCGTGTTATCGTTAAGGCGACTCCGCGTTTCAGTAGTTTTTGCAATTTACCTATTGGGAAAATACTGGAAAGTTCCAAAAATCGTCTCTAAACATTGTTAATTGTGCAGCATTTCCAAAACACAGAAAAGCTTGTTATAAAATATATTAAATGGTTTTCAAGTATCTATTCTTTTTAAGATATTATTTTCTCCGAACAGCGTAAGTTCTATTATTGTAAAACAATAGATTTCTTAAAGTATTGCATGGAAAATACCACTCACGTTATATATTTAAGTCCTGTTTAAGGAACAAGTCAATTAAAAACAAATAAAAGAATATAAAATAATAAACCTTCACTACACAATAAAATAACATATATATTTTACTTATGTACAATTGCCAATTATAACAGGTATCCAATCGTATTCGGTTCAGTGGTTATAGAAAATGATCAAAAAAATAACAGCAGAAGATGTCAGGACTTTTGATAAACTCAGAATATACAATCGATAAAAGTCCCTGAACCTTTGAAAAGTATTTTAAATATAGATGTTGGGCGGGTATAAAACAAAATATACATTTAAGTTGATATTTTAAACTGTGGTATACAAAATATTCTTTATGTGATAGCTGTATTTGACGTACGAGTATGTCTTGAGTAATTTTTCAAAAATTATTTTTAAATAAATATGTACATCCATTTATACCTATCATGTTTAAAATGTATTTGTTTGTTGAATATAATATAATCTTCATTACTTAAACATTACAATTCATAATTAATAGTATCAAAATAAAATTCTATATTTTTATAATTTTAATATAATATAGCTTATGAAGTAGCTCTTTGAAGTCAAAGTTAAACTAGTATTGTATAAGATAATAATATACATGTATTATATATGCTGTATAACTACCTATGCTGTTAATATATATAAATAATGAAACTCTTACATAATATGAATCTACTGAATAATAAATACAGTATACACATTATAAATTATAATAAATTACAAAATTGTGTCAATTAAAAAAAATTGTGATTCAAATCCAGTTTGCGATATTTGCAACTATGAAAGTATTGTTTTAAATTTAAACGTCACATAAATAATACATCATATTGTTAAAATTCATATTTTATTGACTTATAGGTACATATAGGTACTTAGTACTTACATGTTTTATTATTGGGTTAAAATTGATTGAGGGTTGATAACACAATTTTTCCATTCAAAGAAAGTAAAAATATGGTGAAAAAAAATAGACGGACGACAAACAAAAAGGATGACCCAAATTCGTAGACTAACACTGCTGTGATATTGAAATCTCGGCGGCGTCACCGACGTCAAGGGTTTTCGTCCGAGAGGTACTCTCGCGTTTTGAATAAAAAGACCAGCAAAATAAAAAATAAACACCGCTAGACCATCGCGCATTCTCATCAATAGTTTACACACAAACACACACACATGCATGCACCCAACGAATAATAGAATACGGCGTTTTTCTCTTACACTTTCTGATACACTCCCGAAGCGCCATAATGTGACAGCAAAAGTTCAATAGATTTTACTTATACCAGCGTGCAAGCGTAAAAACAAACCCTTGTTCTTATATTTTTTAGATTTTCAAATTACAATTTTATCGATTCCGAGTATGACACTTTAAAAGTATTATTCAGGTACCTACGCCATATGCAAGTACGCAACAAAAACATTTCGCTTCAACCGAATAATATAACGCGAATTTAATTCCTCGATTTTTGCTGTACCACACTTTAGAGATTATGTTTACATTGAATCGACATATTTTTTATTGTATTATACATTAAACCCGTATTAGTATATCTAATACGTAATGTTATCGTAAAAAGACAATTATTTTAGTATCCGTTCTGATGGATATCACTTAGGTTCTACTTCTTGAATTTATATTATCTTTACATAGAAATTTAAAAATATATCATCTGCACGTACGGCTAAAATTTTAATGAATTTTAAATTAACCAATGAAAACGTTTCACAATATTAAGAAATTGTTTATAGAGAAAAAAAATGTAATGTACATAATATTATACCTAAGTATATAATATGAGATTTTGTGACACTCACCTCCAGCAAGGATATCCATCAACTTTTTAATATACATTAAGTCTGTTATTTGTATGAAGGTTTTTAGAATTTGTACAAAATTGAAATTTATGTTACAAGAGATATACTAATGAGGGACCAGGGACACACGATATGTATCCAGCCCTCATGCTTATACAGTTATACTGTTTTATGAGTTATTTAATTTTCTAGGTACCTATATTAAACTTCATTACTTTATATTTTATACGATCGTTTATAAAATGTATCCTTTGAGATTTCCAAAATTTCAAACAGTTTTTATATTATATTATTAGTTATAATAAACAATTAATATGATATAATATAATAACTATGTTCATTTAATTTAAATTCAAACATTTTGTCCAATATACAAATTTAAAATAGTATTTACATGTTAATTTTTCAATGAACCACCTTATAAACAATATTTATTAATTATTATATCCAAGTTTTGTATTACACAATCGTAATAATATTATATAATTTGTGTCCCTTCAATAAAATTATGTGTCTGCTAGATTTTAAGTTTGGAATTCTTCTATTCTGTTTTATGTCTTACTATGTTACTATTATTATTGTTTCCTTGAATTGTTATGTTTGTAGAGCTGCGATAGTTGAACTAAAGTCTTCTAGTTAGAATAAAAACAACAAAAAAGTTTGAAAATGCCTTTGATCGTTTTCGAAAAGTCACATTTTTTTTTTGTGGTTTTCTTAAAGTTTTCACTGGGTAAAACTGAACAATGGATAACATTAATTTATATTACGCCGGAGAAATTCTAAAAAACCATCGTAATTTAAATCGATAAAAATGTTGAACTAAACATTTACATAAAATATATTATTAATCACGAATATTGTCACGGGGAGGGGGTGACAGGCAACGTCAGAATACGTCGAAAACAGATTGGTATATTATAATATTATTATGGTTTTGTGGTTACATCACGATGGAAAATCTAAATATTATAATATAATAAAAAATGGAAAAGGAGGAGGGTTTTCTTAGTATTAATCGAATAGACTTCGAAAATTGTGTCTATGCATAGAAAATATATAATATATATATATATATATTTTTTACTTAAGTATTCATTTAATTGAAATACTTTATAAACTTTCTTTTAAGAAAATACTTTGTGAACATGCTTTATTATAGAATAAGGTTGTTCATTGAATTAATGAAACTATTGAACTTCATAAATTACTTGAAGACAGGTAGGTTATATGTTAAATAGAAAATTCCTAAAAGATAATGTATGTTAACATTTATCTCGCCGTGTGTAATATACTTATCTACTATAAACATTTTATTTATTTTTAATATTTATTGAATATATGGTATTATGGTTGTGATTGTGAAAATATGATTTTACTAATTATTACTCGTGGATTAGGGGTAGGTATTTATTAAGTACACAATATATTCTGTATTTTATTTTATTTTGACCGTAACATTACAAGTTATACATTGAGTTTCAAAAACTACAACTAAACTTTTAGCATTTGATTATTAAACGATACCGTTTAAATATTGAATTTCTTCTTTAAATAAAATGTAGGAATATTTTTAATTTAAAATACTAAACTAACAACTAACATTTGATACTTCAAACATACTACCTATCTCACTTTCACATATAGTTGTATTTATGATCACCATGAAAATCTGAAAGTCTTTAATTAATTTATCTATTTTTATTAAATTGACAGGTGTTTGCTACATAGAAAACAAATATAAACGATATAATTACATTACTGTAATAGAAAACGTTTAACTGACAAATTCTGAGAAACCATGTAAACTAAAGTTTAGGTATATTTAATAAAAAAAAATTATTGTAGCCTATTTATAATTCCATATTTTCAGTTTGCATAAATTTAATATTTTAATCAACAATTTCTACACAGTCATCATTTTATTTTTTAATTATAAAATAAACACTAAAATAACTGTTGTTAGATTTCGAACTAGGTATAAACTATAAATGGTATTTCAAAAGAATAATATTATTAACGATGTCACAATTAACGTCCAACGGGTGTTTATTACATAAACAAATGAGTACCCATCTACTACTTCAGGTCACCAGTCAGCTATTACTTATAATCATACCTAACTACTCTCAGGAGAAAAAATTTGAATAAATAAATGTTTCCGTTTTGTATCACAGCTATTTACCATGAATAGGTTGCACATGATCAAAAATAATATCGTATTATTGAATTCCATGAAATTATGGATAAACTTTTTTTTTATCACTTCTGCAAATTCGTTTCCGGCCACCAATACTAAAAACGTCGTTGCTTTTTGTTCGATATTTACTGCATTATTAGATCATTGATTCAAAGTCGTTTATTAAACCATATAATATAATAATATAGTGACTGCAGTAATGACGTTACTGGAGATGATGTCGCTCGATTAGATTAAATTTCGTAAATCACTATATACTTACATATAACTTCCATTCGGCCACCATCTTGTGCGGAAGCGAACGACGGCGCTTCTGCAGAAACTTCGCACCGGTAATTAGCTGTGGTTTTCAACGTTATGTCTCTCAACGTTAACTGCCGACTGTTGGACTGCATGTGCTGCGCAAACAAATACGTAAAATATAATATAAACACCGGTTTAATGGCCGCCTCGAAGGGGATGAGTTTGCTGGCGGTCGTTGTGGCAGCGATAGGAGAGGGGGGGCACGGAGAAATTGTTACAGAATATACTTACGTCGACCTTAATCCCGTCCACAACGTAAGACGTCTTCTGAGGGTCCGACTTGGGCACATACCGGTAAAACTCCTCGTTTTCGCGGTACCACTTGACGGCGTACAGAAGGGCTCCTTCCAGCTCGAAGTCGCATCGGAGCACGGCCGTCTCGCCTCGGATCTTGTACCGAGGTACCACCGCTTTTACCGTCAGTCCGTCACCTGTTTCGGAAAAGAGTTTTACAGCATTAGGCATAATAAGACTTTGCGAGATCGTCCTAACGTTCATTTTGTATTCCGCGCTTTGCTGATGAACAACATAAGCAGGGCTCGTAAGTTCATGCATCTGCATGTTTTTTTTGTTACACAGGAAAACATGCTAACTGAGATACAAATCCGTTTCATAACAATAGTAATAATAATATGAAGTTTGATAGTGCATGTTTTTGCATGTTTTGGGTGTAAAGTCATAATTGGCATATAGTTGATTTTTTACAGTCGTTAGTGCATATTATTTCATAAAAATATTTTTTAGACAAATATTTGAAAAGTTTCTTCCGATTTTTGATATCTTGTTCCAATCGTCCAATATCGCATGGTAAATTATAACGGTTTTTTAAATTTTTTATTGAGTAATTATTTATCTAATTAATAAAAATATCGAAAATCAGGCTGGTAAAAAAAGTTCTACTTTACATTTTTTATAATAGGTATTTTTACTGTAAACCACTTCAATAAGCCGTATTACTTGAATTACGAAACCATGGTTTTATGCCATATTTTGTCTACTAATGCGCCCTCTTGTTGGAAAACATGAAAAAAACACTTATAAAATATATATTACTAAATAGTAAATTATCTCAAAATGAAAAACCTAATATTTCATTCCAAATGTTTTCATTGTTGGTGCTGAATAAGGGTGTACACAAATTAGACAAAATTCACTAGGTACCTAATTAAAATTTATAAAGATGACAAAGTTATTTGAACTTCACAAGTATTAATTTTATTTTTTATTTTATTAATTTTGACTGTTAAATATATAAAAATTAAAAGGAATAAAATACTTTTAAAATGTATGGATTTATTCTTATTATTTTAAAATTTGGTCATGTTTTTTTTACATAATGCATATTTTGAGTGCATAATTTAAAAATGTTAATGCATATAAATGCATATTTTTGAACTTTTAAGTGCATATTTTAATGCATATTTTGACAATTTTTAGTGCATGAATGCATGCTTATTTATGCATTTTTTAGTGCATGAAGTTACGAGCCCTGAACATAAGTATTGCGAATAGGTTTTGTCATTGATATTTTTTTATTCTGTGGGTAGTCTCTTAAAGCAGCCCGAAATAAAATCATCGTGTGCTTAAATTATTAAACACGTTAATAAACGAACCGAATCACTGATCCCGTCCGTGGTTTTTTTTTATTCATAACAGCGCAAATAAACATAATAGCCGCTGTTTGGCCCTTAGGCGCAATCAAAAACAAGATACCATATTATGTTATTTTAAACCATGATTAAGAGTTTTTGTTCAATATTTCATTGCCATATACATAATATTACAGCCGTTGAACTTTTACATGAGTTACCCACTTTTTCAGGAAACCACCATAATTTAGAATTGCCCATAATATACCCCGAATCAATAATAATAATAGTAATAATGTTGTTGATTATGTATAGCAATAACATTTGAACTTGTTATAATCATACATTATTCATACGCTAATAGTAATTATACGGGTTTTAAACAATGGCGTGATTGTATTTATTACAAACAATCAGTTTTTCGATTCGAGCCCGAAAACATATAATGTAATTAATCGGAAGCACGGATTCTAGTATTTAGACGTTATACGAACTAGGACAAGATATAATGTAATGTACTACATAGCTCCATCAAGTAACTATAATTTGTATAGCATAGGTACACGTCGAGGAACAATTCGTATTATTTCAATGATTGTATTCATAGAAAGTGTTGTTTCCGATTGGTTGTGGATAAAATCAAAAATGTCTTATAATAGTTTTTTTAGATGTATAAGTGATGTACAAGTGTTTTTATTTTAATAAACGATCTTAACAATGAAATGCACAATAAGATTTTATTTCGTTAAGAGATTAAGTATGTGGAACTCAGAGATGAATGAGTTGTTTAATGTGCGTCGTCAACTTGTGGCACTTAATTTGATTTGTTTTTTCCAATTAGGTACCCTAAAGTTTCAGACATAGTCTAACTTATTACGAAAAAATAATTCAAATATACATAAGATTGAAAATAATCAAGGTTTATTAATTTATGTTATCTAAAAATGTAATTCAGTATTATAAATTAAGATCCATTTATAAATATACGTCTGAAAATAAAATGGTGTCCTGGCCTTCTCAAACAACCCTCACCATCTAATCGAGGATAGGTTCTCTAGTCTCTACAAGTATAGAGTAAAAAAAAAAGTCGACGGTGAGTGTCATTAATGGACGACTGCTCACATCAAAGGCCTGTAAATATTTTATTTTTGTTATTAATTGTTTACGTAATTAATAAAATTAATATGTATGCGTATTCACACTAATCACATAAACTAATTGCACCCCTAATGTATAGATTGTTTATTTCGATTTATTTCGAATAAAGCTAGAAAAAAAATTATAATTTTTGTTCAAACATTGTTCGTGTAAAAATGCCTAAAAATGTCAAATCTTTTTCAGAAATCAGTATGAGACATGAGTAATAAACATATTTATAAAATTCAAAAAAAAGCTATGTAGGACTATTTAAAATTAAAAATAATATTATGTTAGAGGTACATCGATAGGGGATGTTTATTGTGTATTTTATTTTAAAACTTTGATTGGTTGCTATTTTCGACAGATTTATTTTCATTGTTTTATAGTGCCCCCGCAAATTTAATCTTATTTAAAAAAAAATTATTTTAAGGTTATCGAAATTCAAACTTTATTCAATATAATTTTAAAAGCAATTATAAACTTGTCGACAAGTTTCAGTGACTTATCGTATTTCCCTCTTTGCCATATTAATATATTATGGTTCATACAGCATAGAGACTATAGAGGTATTGCATTGCACTTTAACTAAAACTTTACGTAAAGAACTGTGAGAAATTATCAGGTACGTCAGCACTCGAAGACTTCTTACTCTGAAGAACTTACGACGTGGTATTTATAGTAATATTACATTTTAGCTATGATAACTAATAAATTACAATAACTTTTCCAATGCCTTTCAAGTGCCACCTAATCTTCTAAAACCTTGACAGTGTAATTAATTAGTTCCAAATATTTGTGAACGATCGTAAATGTTAAAACTTTTTTGTAATTATAAACTATTTACAGTAGGTTTGAATCGAAGGACTTTGTATATTTTTACGAAATGAAAACTGAAGACTTCAGATATATTTTGAAAGCTGTTAAAGCGATTTACATGCTTCATGTGTATACGAAACATTAAAAAGCGATGTCAGTGGGTCGCTTCACGTCAATTTACAAGTAATGCACATATATTTTTTTAAACATTAAACAAACACGGAAAATTAATTATTTAAAAATCAAAAAACATACCTACTACGTAGCGTCTCGAAAATTCATTATATTAACCGCAAATAATCGTGCGGCCGGAGTCACTTTCCGGAAAATCTACAGTTCTCGAACCATCTATAATATTATTACGACCTGCCGGAGGAGTAAATAAAATAATATAATATTTCTGTGCTCGGGATTCCTGGGTAGTGCTCACACCTACAGCTACCCATATACCTACTTGGCCAGATCGGACGTATAACGTATATATTATTATAATGACGATAGGTACTAATAATGATAATAATAATAATAATAATAATAACGAGACGGAGAGAATATTATTCAGAGTTCTCCGACTGTCCTCTTCTGGCAACAGTCTGGTCGTTTCGACATTACGACGGCCATTACAATGAAATATAAAACAATAATACCTTCTATATTCGCATTATAATATCATAATACCATGCAATGCGTCGTGCTCGGTCCAAGGGGTTAATAATGTACATTTTGTGTATTTTGTCACAATACTATAATATAATATGACCTAACCCAATGAAACGCTATTCTCGCATTAAATGTATAATATATAATATATATGAGTGAGTTTGCGTGTGCGTGTGTGTGAGCTAGAGAATTCATCGGGTTCGGCCGTTTCGGGATAATCGACTGTTAATATGGACGAGGTGCGGTCGTCGCCGGCCAATATTAATAATATCGCAGCCAAACACATCTATAATAATATAATACTGTAATGATGATGATAATAATAATAATATTATGCTATACTACATTTTCCTATATTGCCGGCGCACATTATTAGACGCGTCATATAATATATGTATAATACTCAAACGAACGACATGGGAAAATAATATATTATTATAGCAGTAGGTCGTGTGTGCATGTGTTATTATGATATTATAATGTCATGTATTTCTATTAAATACAACACTATATACACGCGTGTATTAGAATACAAATCCTGATAATTTCACGATGATAATCGGAGTGTTAAACTGCAGTTACCGCGGCGGTCACGAAAAATATTAAAGTATAATACGTCTGATGACGGTGACCTATACATAATTATAATAATAATAATAATATATTATGCGTATCGTCGTTAAGCCCCCCCGTCGCCGGTTAGTATTATATTATAATAATATACGGCCCTAAAATGGTACATATTTTTACGAACTCTGAGTGTATAATATTAAACTCTATTGCCGCTGCGTTATTATTACGACAGTGTAAAATAACTTTGTACAATAATTATTATTGTCGAGTTTAATAGCCTCGTTTCATAAACCATCACTTCTGAACCACGCTCAACACCTACCTCAAAACCATTTTATAGTCTATCTTAGAGTGTTTAGTCTAATGATTATTAACTTAATGGAAGGGGTATTTTAATATTTAAAAACTTTTAAGATGGTACAGTCTAACGTTATAATTGAAGCACAAATTTGATGATTTTCATGGTATAATTTAATAATTATAAACAATAATATTATATAATATGTATTACCACGTGACTACCAATTGACATTTTACCACTGCTGCATTTATTGTATCGCTCTTAACATTAAGTGAAATTTAAACATTAAAAAAACATTTAAAAATAAATATTGAGAGCTGAAACAAAATCAATAAGGTTCTCTGCAGAAACG